CACATAAGTTTAATCTTTTCTTGCCCAGTGGTTCCTGAAAAGAAGATTTTTAAAAGATGCCACCAAATTCTCAAGAATTCTTAATTATCTCCCCTTGAAAAAGGGCGCGGCACTTCAAACTTGAACAAACCTGAATCCCCTTCACCCAAGAATGCTTTGTGGCAAATTTTGTTGAAACTGGCCCAGTGGTTCTTGAGAAGAAGTCGAAAATGTGAAAAGTTTACAGACGACAGACAGACGCCGGGCACACTTTGATCAGAAAAGCTCACTAAAAATCTGACAGTAAGAGAGCGTCTAACATTTATTCATAATGGAAATAACAAGCAAATTCAAAGAATTATGGTCCCCCGCTTTCGGTGTCTTAGTTGATGGGATGTCATTATTTATGGCATATTGTAACCGTTTTTTTGTGTGTCTTGTCTTCATACAAAAAAGACATTAATTATTGAATTGATAAGAGTTATGGAATAGATCATAGCTTCTCAAAACTATTTCAAACTTCAAGATCAAAGTCATGAAGTCAAATATCATAATACATTCGAAAAGTCTTGTCACAAGTAATGCACATGTGAAAAAAAGTATGAAAGCTCTGTCTCTCATGGAGCATAAAGGTTATGGTCAAGGTTAAACAATTTTTATAGAGGTCAACCTTCTAGGTCAAGGTCATGAAATCAAAAATGATATACTTTTCTGAAAGGTGTTGACATAGGTAATGTACATGAAATATGAAAGCCCTATCTTCTCTCATTCAAAAGTTATTACAAATGTAAAATTAATTTGAAAAAGAAGTCTTTAGGTTAAATAATAAGGTCAGGGTCACAAGGTCAAGAACCAGAGTATACAATCGGAAAGGTCTTTAAAAAAGGTAATGCGCATGTGAAATGTAAATGACATATCTACTCTCAATCAAAATTCATCAGCAATATTAAAATTTTAGAAAATTATGTCAACGTCAAGGTCATGTGGTTTAAAATCATAGATTATTTGGACATGCTTTGTTGTCACAGGTAATGTACGTGTCAAATAAGAATGCCCTATCTTCGCTTCTTCAAAAGTTAGCAACAATGATAAAGTGTTTGAAAATAACGTCAAGGTCACAGGGTCAAATATTATAGCACATTCGGTAACATTTTGCCACAGTTAATGCACCTGTGAAATATGGACGCCGTATTATCTTTCAATCGAAAGTAATCACCAAAGCTAATTTTTTTTTTTTGAAAATTAGGTTAAACATGGAGGTCAAGGAGTCAAATATCATAGCATGCCTGAAAACGTCTGAAAACGTCACAGGTAATGCATATGTCAAAAATGAAAACCTTATTTTTTCTCTATCAAAAGTCATAAGATATCTCTGATTTAAAATCTGATGAGATATCTTTCTAACTTACAAAAATATCTGTTTTAACGTTGTTGAAAAGATATTTCTCTAACTTTAAGAGATATCTCTCTCGCTTAAAGAGATACCTCTCTAAGCAAAAGAGATATCTCTCTACGTTCTAAAGATATCTCTCTTAGTCAAAGAGATATCTCTTTTAGTCAAATAGATATCTCTTTTAGTTAAAGAGATATCTCCCTAAGCTAAAAGAGATATCTCTCTAAGTTAAAAAGATATCTCTCTTACTGAAAGAAATTGAAAGATTTTTTTTTTTCATTTTACGAATAAATAGTGGAAGGGCTTGTCATTGACCTGCGTAGGAAACGACCTCTTATTGGAGAACTGAACCATCGCAGTTGAAATGAAATATAGTTTAATAAACTTTATGGAAAACTGTGTGTTATTACATTTGAGCCAAATGAAATCATGATTGATCTCAATCCTGTTCTTGTTACAAAAATAACAAAACTTTTGCTGAAGTCAGAGATACCAAAACATAAGGCTTAAGTTAACTTTTTTATGGATATTTTCTTGATTTGGAATTGGCAATGAAAAAAATAGAGTATATAAAACATACGTTATAAGTTTTGTTTATCAATTTTGCATTTTCTTTACGAAAAATGTACAAAATATGCATATTTTACATGTATCTATCGTTATATCCAAACGTTTGAAAAATAAGAATTGTCACAATCAATATTTAATCCCGATTATTGTTTTATTTATGTTTATGATTTTTACTTATTTTTCCTTTATGGGACCTCTTTAGTCTGTTACCTGTAATGAACCTCAAATTTAGAAATTGCAGGCATTGGTCAGTTACGGCCTATTGTATTTGGAGTATTTAAATCGCTGCATTGCTGACCACGTAGCCGGGTCCACGTTTTCATACTTTTTACATGCTTGACGTACAATCCAAGATGTATAGATTGGTAGTTTTTTTACAACGGTAACCATTTCTCCATGAGGGGTAAGTTAAATTTTCTGATTAATTATTTAGTATTTTGATATTGCATTAAGATTTGTAAACTTTGTAAGAAAACGGGTTAAGTAATGTTTTTTGTTACTGTTTACGTATACAAGTTTTGCTGAGTAGAGTTACTCATGCGTGTAATGTTCTGGTTTTGTGCATGTACTAAGTTATGTACGCACGCAGTGTATTTTGTTTTGCCGCTTATACAGTCGGTGTCGTGGGTTTAGTTGTTAAAACCACTTGTGTTAAGAAATTGTGTATTCTTAACGCTGTCTACATATATAACAGTGTTTGGTTAGATTTATATTTGTTTGGTGTGCCATTTGTGCAATGATAGTCAATGGTGACTAGTCTTTTTTTAAGGTATACGTAACCTGTGACTTAAAAATGTGTTATTTAATTTAAAGGTTCCTGATAATCCTGATAATATCTAGTCATGTGTGTGTTGGCTATGACGTTCAACAGACCGGAGACCCACTGGGAGCCAGTTGGTGGGAGTCCGTCGTGAAACGGGGCGTGTCTGGACGTGGTTGTGAGCGAACACCAGGATGACCTGGATTGAGAGATCTAGAGACTTTTAAGATATACATATTGTAAATTATAACTGTATAAATATGGTGTAAATATTGTTAATACTGATTTTATTTATATATAAAAAATTGTAAATAGAAATAAAAATCTTGTTGTGTCTGACTGAACAGAACACGACGGCTGTCGTGACAATAATACACTGTTATATATGTTAACGTTAATTCAAGGAATTAAGAGCCATTCTCTGTAATGACTTGAACTTTTACATAGGAGCTGTGGCACGCATAGTCTCAGAATTTCCCCAAACTCTCTATGATAAAAGTTTTTGACACCGTAAACTCAAATCAGGCAAAAATTGGTTGCTACGTTTCATGGTTACCCTAGCAACATGTCCTAACGTTTGAAAAGTGGCATTTTTTAACATGTTCAGAGTCCCACAGTTAAGGTTTGCAGCAAAGCAAACAAGTGGCAATGACTGTTTCTGAAAGTTGAAGGCCTGATGTCTTAAATGCGTGATAAACATGTTTGGTAAATCAACTATTACATACGTTACTATAATGGAAACAAAGTATTCAAAAGTAATAAATTTGTTCATTTAATTTTATAAAGTCATACACTTAAGAATAAAAACAATTATAGGTTGAAATGAAAGCAAATAATAGACAAGAGATCCTTGTAACATATACCAAGGACGAAATATGATATTTCTTGTAGTTTGACAATGGTTGCCATGGTTTTAATACCAAGAAGGGATCTTAAATTTACTCTTTTAGTGTTTTAATCTTATCCTATTTTTTTAAAAAGCATATTTCTATATAACTGATGATCAATTTTTAAAGGCGTTGGTGTGACCCTAATTTTCACATTTCAAAAAATTCATATTCAATTCTTTAAATAGAGCGTTGCTATGGAAATTAGCCAAAAAATATGCTTAAAAATCTGAAAAATATTCCGTTTCCTTGAATACGTACCCTTGTATGTAGATTCCCAAAACTTTTATGATTGATATATATGAACAATGAACCTGACTTTTAATTTTGACTACCATCCAATCTCTAACTGGATGCAAAAAGCTGGCACATAGGGTTTAATAATGGTATAAAATTAACAAAATCGAACATTTTCCCTTCTTGGTAACCATAGCAACAGTGTTGTATTTTTCAACAAACTTTATCAATTATGATATTCAACTTTAGTTCTACCAGATAAGTATTATTCAAGGTGAGTCAAATAATACGTTTCTTGATTAAAAGGTAAGTAAATTCCTAAAGCAGCAAAGAAATATCACTTTGAACAACTGGTACATTGTTTCCATGGTTAAACTGCAAAGTAACAATTAATCCCAATTTTTCTTACGTTGTTGGTGTTGCAAGGTCATAAGGATGTATATGTGCCAGTCATGAATTTTATTGTTTTTCCTCAAGATAGTAGCATTAACCCAATCATAGCAACAGATTTTGCATGGTTACACTGTGTTACCATGGCAACCATGAAAGTTATTTTTAGAATAATATTGCCAATACCTAATTACTTAAGGTCAAGTATTTTTTATTGGTTTTCTTAGATTGTTGATTAAGTTTGATCATGTAACATCTATCATTTGTGAATATTGAGCATTTTTCAGCATCTAAAATGTATTCCAAATGTACCCGTGGTTACCACTTACTAACAGATAAATTCTTAATAGTTTCTTTATAGCATAAGTGGCAACAAGGTGTCATGTTTTTGGGAGAATGGTTTGTTTGTTTTTCTTGGTCTTTATTAAGTTGTAATAAAGATTCAAAGTAGTTGAAAATCTCATTTTTTTTCAACTTTTCTGGCTGTTACCATGGCAACCAAGACACATAGCAACGAAATTTTATTTGATATATGTTTCTGGTGTCAAGTTGTTATAATGGGCAAAGTTTCATCCAAATCGGTGACCATGCGTGGCAAAGAAGTTTAAGTGGTTACAGAGAATCGCTATTAAATCTTGAACGCAAACAGACTAACCTTACAAAATATTTTAAAAAGAAAGAAGATATACATTTTATTTTCATAATTATGGGATCGTGTACTTATTTAACTTTTCATTGAAGTTCAAAGAGTGAAACAATTTTAGTTCATTTCTAGCTTACAGTCAAACAAATCAATATGGACAAGAAGGAGGAAGTATAAGACTGGTATGTCCTTTTTCTTCACCGGATACAAATGGCAAGACAACCTGGAATGGACCACCATCATTAATGGCCTACTTCATCAATGAAATTAAGAATCCTAATGTTGCTAGACCAGAACGTTTGTCTGTGGTAAGGAACGTCAACACAGGAGGATATGACCTTCAGATTACTGGACTCAGCAGAGCAGAGGATGTTGGAAAATACACATGTATCGTGAACACCATGCCACCAAAAGAGTACAGAGTGAACTTGAATTTGTATGGTAAGTTCAGTCAGTCTCTACAGAGAGTTGTCATTTTTTGCAACTCAAATACACTCTGTCAATGCTAGACCAGTGTTTGAGGATTTTGTGGGTCGATGGTATATGTCACAATGAATGTATAAATTATTGAATCTTCTGAATATATACGAGGGTTTCCATAAAGTTTGTGGACAAATGCTATAATTTTCTTAATGAAGTTCACACTGGCAACTGTGTACGATAATATTTTAATATAGACCATAATTAACTAAGTAAATACATGTATATAAAAATTAAAGAATACACACTATTTCCGAACGTTGTAAGTGTAAATACTTATGATATTCAAGCCGCATGGCCCAGTCTGACATAATGCTAATTCCATGATAATGTGAAAATTTTTATCACATGTTTATGGACACACGCTACATTTTATTTATTATACCACACTGCCAATTGTGTACAAAAATATTTATGTACATACCATAATTGATTTAATTTTTAAAATTCAAAACCATACACGATAAAATACGAGCGTCATCAATATAAACACTTCGAATACACAGGCTGCACAGCCCAGTCCGAGAATAGGGATGTCCTATTTTCATCACATAACAGTGTTTTTTTCACTTCCTGTAATTCTCCGAAATTGTACATGTAATAGTGATAGTTTTATGCTATCTTAATTATTCTTGACCAATAGAATTAAAGAAAATTGAATTCTACTCAGGTAGCTTATTGCAGGTGTAGAAAAAGTACAAGGGTGGGTCTAAAGTTTTAGCTAATTATCTATTTTGTCAGGAATTTGGAGGTAAAAATCTTGACCAATAGGTTGTTGACAGGTTGATGGGACAGGAGTGTCGGCGGTCTCGTTTGGGGTCGTCATTTTGTGAATTCTATGGTCGATGCAGTGCCCTTGTCGGCAGGTGTGGTCTGTCGTTGAGTCGAATGCTGGCTGACTTTTTTCATGCTAGTCGTTTGGCCATTGTTTGCTCGCTGGGTTCTAGGCGGATTTTCCCGTTGTTTCCCGATGGTGGCAAGGAGCACACGGCGGGTGTGACCAGTCGGCAGGGAATGCTCACTCCTCCATGGCACCTGATCCCACCTCTGATATCTTAGAGGTCCGTGTTTGCTCTGCTCCTATTTTGTAATGTTTCATGGATTTCTGAGTTCGAGTGCTGTTCGTGATCACCACATATTTTATTGTGACATTTGAATATCTTAATAATTGAAATAGCATAAAACTATCACTATTACGAACACACAACAAAAATCGTATATACTAATTTCAAACCAATAAACTAAATATATATTCCAATAATTTCAAGTTGCTTGAAGGATATTTTGTCTTTGACGTCGTTTCAACCATATTTAAACATAATTTTATGATAAGATATTGTTCCATTCGGATGGCCGACATCGCTTTTTCGGACATATTTCTTGCGGGTTTTACCTTAAATTTTCCACTGTCTGTCAGAAAATGACGACAGCCGCTTAATTTGCGACGTATTTAATTTTTATTTAGTTTTGACTCATTTCATAAAGAAAATAATTATCTTAATCAGAACACTTTATCTAAAAGCTTAAGGCATTTAACCCTCGGCCGTGCACGCACTCTGCGACCGCGATTTTTACAAGATATTAAGTTTAAACAATAAAAGCAAACTACATGTATTCTGACATGGATTTTCATTATATACATACATACATATATATATATATATATATATATATATATATATATATATATATATATATATATATATATATATATATATATATATATATATATATATATATGAATAATATATTTTGGTATGCAATAAGTATGTCTAGAACCATTTATTTTGAAAAAAAAAACGTTATTGACCACGTACTTTTTAGACAACCCTAGCTCTTTAGTCTTTCACACAGTGCAATCGAGTAAAATTTTGTTTGTCCACAATCATTAATATTAACATCAAGGAGAAACTTCAAGAGTACTGCGCAACAATATATTCGGGAAGTGGTGTAAATCAGATGTGGATACTTAAAAATTCCAAGGAACTTTTGGAAAATTTGAAATCACAAGAATTTATACACAACCATTCCCCACGATAAATTAAAGTCCAGGCTTTTTGATATCATTGACAGCTGCTTTTCAATAAAAATGGAACTCGTACATTTACACCCCTTGTCATTGGTCATTTGCAAAATTATTTTGTTAAGAACGTTCTGATTGTACACACAAGTACTCTGAAGTTGACATTATAAATATGCTTGAGTTCTGATTGACAATATCTATGTGGTTTTTGGAGACCAGGTTTTCCAACAATGTATTGGAATTCCCATGAGTACCCATTGCGCCCCGTTATTAGCAGACCTTTTTTTGTATTCACATGAAGCAGAATTTGTCCAAAATCTTATACGTGAAAAGAAGAAAACACTTGCTGTGGCCTTCAACTCGACATTTAGATATATCCACGACGTATTGTCAATACGATACGATACGATATATCCCGGTGAGCTTGAGATAAAAGATACAACAGAGTCTGACACATCTGTTTCATATTTGGATATTTCACTTGAAAAAGACGTTAATGGTAATCTAACAACCAAGCTTTGTGATAAACATGATCACTTTAACTTTTCAACGTCAACTTCCCTTACTTATGCAGCAATATACCTTCATCACCTGCATACGGGGTTTATATCTCTCAGTTGATTCGATACGCAAGAGCGTGCTCTACGTATGTACAATTTCTAAAACGAGGTAAATTATTGACAAACAAGTTGATGAAACAAGAATTTCAACAGTCTCGTTTAAAGTCATCATTTCGTAAGTTCTATGGTCGATACAATGACCTTGTCAGCAAATACAATTTATCATTGAGTCAATTGCTCACTGACGTTTTTCATACTAATTGTTAGGCCATTATTTACACACTGAATTGTCGACGGATTTTTCCGTTATTTCCCGATCATGACAAGGAGCATACGCGGGTGTGACCGGTCGGCAGGGGATGCTCACTCCTCCGTGGCAACTGATCCTACCTCTGATGTTTTGGTGGTCCGTGTTTGCTCTGCTCCAATTTTGTTTTGTTTAATGAACTTCTGAGCTTGAATACTGTTCGTTATCTCCATATATTTCATCAATCCACAGTAGATTTTTTTTAGAAATAGCGCTGAAAAACACATTTGTTGTTGCGCAACGTTTTAAGTAAAACCCCGTTGGTTAGAAAAAAAATTATTTAATATAATTTTATACAAATATTTATTTTTTTTAGGTCCATTCAGTAACTGTAAATATTTTTTCATGGACTTTTAATTAATACCGATTTGTCATTTGTCAGTATACACTTATTTCATGACTAAGAGGGGAACAGTCAAACTGTTGTCCCAAGGTAATGGGGAAGACCTGGGAAACTGTTGCCCGAGGCCGAAGGCCGAGGGCAACAGTTTCCCAGGTCTTCCCCATTATCGAGGGACAACAGTTTGACTGTTTCCCGAGTTGTCATGAAATAAGTGTTTTATTACCTAACCTACTATATAATTTCTTAAAGTAATGATATCGACATAATAATCAATGTTTTTAAAAACAAACTAAACAAGATGAATATTAATCAAATTCTCACACCGATTGGTGTTCAGAAAAATTAATGGATGTGATATTATCATGCACTAATAAATTTAAAAAAAAAAAAAAAAAACATGTAAACAACATAATGATGTCTTGAAGATTTGAATATTACACGTTTATGGCAAAGAACTATACTGAGTGAAAGTGGCCTACATTTTTCCCAAATTACCCTCAGAAAAGGTGTTCATGGCCTCTTCTTCGAAATGATATTAAATTGATTATATATCAGGATTACTTTTCAGATGATAATTTCAAATTGAATGAAAATGCTTTAATTTTAAACATAATTCAATATTAAAGCTGTAAAGTACGGGGAATTAATTATGACGTCATAATGGAACTGTTCAGCCATGCAACAGTTCATTCTGTGACCGGGTAAACAGTTTTGACTGTTTCATGATTTGCAAAAACATTAAAAAGAATCAGGAAACAGTTCAAAATGCCTAATTACAATTTATATAGTAGGTTAGGTAATAATGTATCTTGTCAGAGTTATCGGTCGTAGTAAAAGCGAAAGTACGTAGCCAACGTAAACAATCGTCGGAACAATCCGCAGACGACATTCAATAGATTCGTCGATGTTGAAGGAAATCTGTTTATATTTATTATGAGCCAGTCAAGCAGAGTTAGTGAAGTGACTGATGAAATTATTTTTCATCAAGATGAACTTTTAATCGATGAAATTACATCTTTGAACGATTTGTATTTTGGAAATCACTCGGAGTTTGTACCCTTGTTATCGTCCGAAGATGAGGAAGAGGAAAGTCGAGCCACAAACATTGATGGTAATTTTTCAGATTCAGATACTGAATTAGAGTTCAGAACAATTGACATAGATGAAGCGAGTTGTGTTGCAGTATTCAAAACAAAAACATGTGGTTGCAGTAAACTGTATGGTTCTCCGTGTAGTACAAAAATTGAATTCAGTCACATGCTCGAATACAGACAACAGTGTCAAGAAATGTCAAGTGAGGAATTAGATTTAACAGTAAAAGTTCAATTGGCAGCACACAGAAAACCATGCACATATTGGCCCCAGTCGATGAGTAAAAAGCAAAAAACAAAGGAACGAGAAAGAGTAGCACAGAAGTATTATTTTGCGGGACAGCAGGTCTGTCGGGATACCTTTCTGTTCTGCCATGGTATTGGGAAATTTAAGCTTAACAACAGAGCTTCTTCTCTTAATAAGGATAGTCTCAAGCCAAGGATTCATGGAAACACTGGGAAAATGCCTAAACATGCACTCTGTGTAACTGATGTAAAACATGTTTGTCAGGAATATACCCTGAAGAATGGACTCCCACTGCCAGGCAGACAGCCGAACTACTCGACTCAAAGTCCTTTTGTTGCTTCCTTCTGATAAGACAAAGTCTGATGTTTGGGAACTTTATAATCAAGCAGC